AAGAAAATGTTCTAGCCGAAGCATCAGGGGAGAGACCAGCCGGCCCCCAGACCATATCGGCTAATCCCTTGCATCTCTGCCACGCACGGAATCGGTTAAAGATAAACTGTCAAAAAGTCTAGTCTATTTGGTGCATTGTTTTCACGGCTATTGTTATGCTGATTCGCCTGGAGCCGTGGTCAAATGGAAAAAACTTGAGCTCCCATATCATACTCGAGTCAAGTCCGGTTGGGCGAAGTTAGTACCTGGATGGGTGACGTGAAACTTATGCSTACTAAAAAAWTTGCGAGTTTCCCTTATCTTTCGACYTATTACAATCCGTTTTAGTTGAGAAATTGTCGAAAATTAAAAAACCTTGGGCATTTAGTTTAATCGTGCCCAGTGGCGGTCTACTTTTTTAAGAAGAAATTCGTTCGTATTCTGTGCCCAGAAAAAAAAATGTCAAGCTTTTCTATCCTCCCTGAGTATGACTCAGTCCCATGGCCAATCGGCATGCTTTTTTTTTTTTTACATGCAGCAACTCTTCTAGCATATGCAGCAACTCGTCTAACATCAGCAACTCGTACATGCAGCAACTCAGTTTCTTATTCGCAACAACTCGTTTACTGGCACAGCAACTCATTTCTCATTAATTCGCAGCAACACGTTACTTATTTGCACAACTCGTCTATATGCAGCAACTGATTTCTTTATTGCAGCAACTAACTCGTCTAACATGCAGCAACTCGTTTCTTATTTGCAGCAACTCGTTTCTCGTTTGCAGTAGCAACTCCTCTAACTTGCAGCAACTCGTTTCTTTGCAGCAGTAACTTGTCTCACATGCAGCAACTGATTTCTTATTGCAGAAACTCGGTAACATGCCGTAGCAACTGGTTTCTTACCGTGAAGCAGCAGCTCGTCTAACATGCAGCAACGAACTTGTTTCTCGTTCGCAGCAGCTTGATGCAGAAACCACTCGCTTCTTCAGTTTTCCAGCAACCGATAGCTTGCTACATGTCCCTTTATGGACCACCGGAGCTTCCAACCTTCCCCATCCATGCAACAATAAAATAATAAACTTCATCTAGTGACATCTCATACGGTACGTTGCTTGCAGGGTCACATCCACATGGACACACGGTGCGATTTTCACCTTAATATTTCTTTGATTTCAAAGCCGACTGCAACACTCATTCACACTATAAGGGATTCTCTTCCATCTATTATAGCCTAGTCTGCTCAACTTCTCTTCCCGATCACGAGAACCGTGTCGTATCGTAGGCTGAATAGCGCTATCCGACGGAAAAGCCTTATCCAGTCGATAAATCCATGCAGTATTGGATAACAGCATCGATTTATCCACTGGATAAGGATTTATCGGATAGCGCTATTCACCCTGTACAACCGGGCCTTACGAGTTCCTGACTAAGATCAGCCCAGAGGTTGTTTCAGGGTTTTATCTGTGAGTTAGGCATGCCCTGACTTAGATCAGCCCAGAGGTTGTTTCAATGTTTAATCTGTGAGTTAGCCATGCCCTGACTTAGATCAGCCCAGAGGTTGTTACAGGGTTCAATCTGCGAGTTAGCCATGCCCTGACTTAGGTCAGCCCAGAGGTTGTTTCGGGATTCGATCTTTGAGTTAGCCATGCCCTGACTTAGATCAGCCAGAGGTTGTTTCAAGGTTCGATTTGTTAGTTAGCCGTGGCTTGACTTAGATCAGCCCAGAGGTTGTTACAGGGTTTGATCTGTTAGCCATATGCATGCCCTGACTTACACGAGTTAAATCAAATAACGGTCTATTCAAACCCTTGCATCCGACATGATCTTAAAACCATTTATTTCAAATTACTTTTTACATCTTTCTATATTCTATGACATGTACATTTTAAATGGACTTTTTAAATTCAACTTAATAAACTGCAATCGCAATGTTAGATCTATCTTTCTTTCCTTAGACACAACTATCAGTATTTTCCTAATTTGAATTTCAGATTTAACTTCGAGCGATATTGTAGTCATGCGCGCTGTGAATGCGAACTAAATTTTACAACGGATCGAAGTTGCGCTTCCCCCAAACACTTTTTAGGTTTCTGTTGTGGATAATTCCAAACGCGGCGCGAAAGCCGTGGTTTTGACTTTGTTTATTACTAACAGAAGCTTAAAACCCTATGTTTTAAGGCACAGAAACACTAAAAACTGTTTTTACAAGACGAGGGATATCTTTTCAACAACACGATCACCTAGCTAGTCCGCTCTTGGATCCACTGAAACGCTTCCAAGAAAACGGCTAAGTCATGACAGCCATGTTGGATAATATAACGAAAGGAATATGAATATAACCAACATAGCGGCCATTACTACACATGCGCATAAATACTAAAGAAAATATCGGACACTTATTACCGAGAAAACACTGGGTCGAGTTGACATTGCAGTGCATTGTGGTTATGTTTAAGGGGACAAAACAGACGCCATCTTGGAAAAACGTCCTCTAAAATAGCCCCAAAATGCATTGCAATGCCAATTCGACCCAGTTTTCCCTCAATCTCGGAATGTCTAATAATATCTTAATAATATCCTAATAACAGTATATCTAAATATTGAGAGTGTTAGAACAGGTGTCTTGAAAATCTAAATTACAGTAATTTATTTTGCCGCTTTGTCTCCGTGCAATCATTTATTAAAAAAAAAATTCCAAGATCTAACCAGATTTCTTTCAGAGGGGTGCAAAGTCTGGTAGAAATTTCCAAAAACATACCAGATTCCTCTTAGCCAATCAGAATCCGCAAAAAAATCCTCTAGTCCAGTCACAGTTAGACTGCGTGCAGGTCGACTTTAACTAGTATTCCACTATAAATATCAATCGGAGGCTCTTAGCTTACAAACGAACTGCCTTTCCTTAATATTTGTTTAACAAGTACTTTAGTTAATTTAACTTTTCACTACCAGGTTATTATTAGGATTCTTTTTTTACTTTTTCTTACAAGTATAAACACTAAAAACAATTGTCGTTAAAATTTTACAAAACGCGTATAAAAGTTTTTTCTTTGAATTATATAAGTTGTGGTTCTACTGTTAATTTAATTTTCATATATCTTGATCTTTTTTCCTTTTTTATGATGATTTGTACGTTATAGTCGTAAATCTAGTTATTTTTATTGCGAAGACTTTTTTGAGAATCCATTTTGTCAATCCAAGTTAAGTTTCAAATCAAACGGCCATTCACCATTAAGCTTTACCAGTCGTCCAATCACAATCTAACGTTTAGATACTTCTTCACCGATCAATCATAGAACGTGTTTGTGTTAAGAACACCAGCCAATCAACAAACACCAACAACGGAACAAATTACTCAGAAATGCAAATATTCAGTCACAATCTACTGTACGAGGACTGACCAATCGTTAAACATCAACAAGTGTCCATTCGCAGAACACCTTAGAAATATGAGCATCCATTCACGATCTATAGACTTGTGTGTTAATAATACTAGCCAATCAATGAGCACGAACAACTGACCAATCWCAGAATACCATAAAGGAATCCGAACAAATCACAATGTACTTCTTGTCGCTTCATCAACGAGTCATCTTCTTGTCTTTCAAAGCTACAACTTCATTGACAAAGGAAAAGTCAACAGTAGGAGCAGAGTTCATGAGAAGGAAAGAAAAAGTTACATGCCCATCAATTTGCTAACCAATCATAATTAAGATAGAGAAAAAAGCCATTTATATGTCAGAGCCATGCATTTCTCAGTCATACTGCTCGTGACGTCAGCTTGTGGTACAGAGAAGTCAGCCTTTAGCTTATTTACAATATAAAAACTAAGAAAACTAGTTTTGTAAGAAAACGAACCCTTGGTTCACAGATTTACACGAGGGCAAGCAGTTATGGTGCCGCCATTTGGACTTGCAGGTTATGCAACATATTCTGTTGAAAATAGATAAAAAATATTTGGAATGTCACTGTATATCTAARTAGTCAGCTTTAGGGGTTTCAATGAACTACCAGGTGATCTCGTTTTGACACTGAGTTCATCAAAAACCAAATTATGCTTCACCCCATTATGGTCTACCTGTGGCAGTACCATATTCACTTTACCACAGGGAACCCAGCACGTCAAATTTCCTAGCCTCCCAAACAATTTCTAATAGACCTTTTCAGTTTCATTGTTTGTTGTGCACATTTCAGACCATGTGATACCACTTTTTGGAGYTAAATCTTTCATGTGATCTGAAATGGGCAATAAAATCGTCAAAACGTGAAATAAAGTAGAGAAATTTTAGCTAACCTTTGAAAAGTAGTACCGTTTTTGCCCTTAGATTTTGTATTTTTAACATTTTAGCGTTTAGGACGTTTTTTATTATATTTTATTTCACATTTTGACGAATTTATTGAGTTTTAATCATCTCCTCTACAGGCAATTTTCACTTTTGGGGTCCCTGTGTTTACAGACTCGCTTTTGGGTTCCATATTATCTAACAGACTGACAGACAGACAGACAGACTATTATTTAACAGAACAACAAGAAGATATAACTAGCTAAAAACTAGTGTGAGCTGCAGAACAGAACAACAGAGAGGATGAAGTGGGGGGAGGGGGGGGGAAAGATCACTCTCCTGTCCCCTTAACTCTTCTGTTAACACTGGAAACCCAAATGAGAAGTTTGCCTAGAATGTCAGCAGCTTAAGCCATATCTCACATTTTTGTGATAACGACTTGGAATCTGCATACATGTCTAGTAGATATACGGTGTAGTGGAACTCATACTTTTCATTGTCGGCATGGCTTCTTCTACRTTCGTTTCTAATTTACGGTAACGGTGATGCCTTCTTGGGGTTTTTCCTTCAAGTATTATAGCCAATATCTGTGAAAACAAAATATTTAGAATGAAATGAACGATATGTATATACAWTTCTGGTGTAGGAATAATGGAAAAAATGAAGCTGCTTGGAGGGTCTTTACTGTGGCAATGTAAATATCTTCTCAACAAGAGATTTTAGTTCTCAAACGATGGTAYCTCCATTATTTTGCCCTACTTCTGAGAATCAAGTCTGGTGTAGCAGTACTAGACTAGCCTCTTCTCAGG